ATAATTCCACATTTTTGAGTATCTGTCTATATTTCTGAGATTAGGTATTATGTACACTATTTACATTATTTGGTCTTTTGTTCTCATCTTTGTCACCATATTTATTACAACGATACCAAGGACACATGGTACAGTGGATAAAGGCATTGGTTGCATCCAGTGACAGGACCCAAAGTGTGTGAGTTCAATACCTGGTTAAGACGGTGTCTAACCCAGTGAGCAAAATAAATGGTTCAGTTCGACATTCCAACCACCTGAAGAAGGCCGGAGCATACAACGGCCGAAATGTTGTAATAAATATGGCGACAAAGATGAGGACAATAGTCCAAATAATGTAAATAGTGTTCCACATTTTTCTCTCACAAATGAACTGGGTATTTAAGAATTGAGCTGGGATTGATAAATTATTGATTGCTTTGGTGATTTTTGTTTTAACAATACTATTCACTCTGTACAAGGCTCAAGATCAACTCGAGCTAGAGGGTTACAGAGTATGGGGCACTGTTTTTAAGGATGTGTGAAGAAGATAAAGATTAACCCTAGATCTGAACAGATTAAGAATGAAGTGGTTAGGAAAGCATCTTCTTTGAAGTTGGTTCCACAGGGTAGCAGTTCGTGTTAAGAACCTGTTCGAGCGGAACTTACATCTCACCAGTGGAATATGAAAGGGGTGAGGGTGATTCGTTACAACTTACGTAGCATGGTGGGTCTTAGCTGTGAAGGTTAGAACTTGTGGAACTAAGGATTGTAGTTTGTCTGAACATTTTCCATGGAAATGGCGATAGAGCAGCGGGTGGCTTTAATGACTGAATTATCGATTTTTAAACAAGAGGGAAGATAATCGATTGAACCGCGATTCAGATGGATTACATATGGATGATTAGATCGTGTGTACAAACATCCGCATCTCTGAAATTGAAGAAAGTTTGTTAGCAGATAGCCTAAAATATCGAAATATATTGCCGTGAAATGAACAGGTAAGCTGAAGATCACATGCTATCAGAATGTAAGAAAATTGGCCACGGGTGCCCTAATACACACACACACACACACACACACACACACACACACACACACACACACACACACATATATATATATATATATAAACAAATATAGTTTTAAGGTGTGCTATATTTATGGGATAAAGTGCACCTTAAAACTATATTTGTTTATATTTGCGTCTAGCCTGAAACCGCCTGTCACCTCTGAGTGTTGACTTCAATGTTCACTTATATATATATATATATATATATATATATATATATATATATATATATATATATATATATAAGTGAACACTAAGTCAACACATCAATATATATATATTGACGTAAAATGAACTGATAGGCTGAATATTAACTGCTCTAAGAAGGACGACATTTGTGACGGATGTTCTAAACATCCTATATATTTCAAGGAGCATCTGCGCAACTTTGTGGGTGATGAATTATTTCCTTTCTCACAGACAAAATGCTTCCATGGCATGTGTTCTGACAGGCTGCGTTCCTTTAAGCCACCACCCCTGATTTTTACAAATTGGGCCCGCCATGTTACGTACACAAGTTTGTATCATCCTCATTCCTTTTGTATTCCATTAGTAAGGAGGAAATGACATTCGGACAACTTCTTACCAAGAACCGCTGCTTGACCTCTTCAAGTCTAGGTTTCACCGTTATTTTTTTCTACATAGCCCCCCCCCATCCACGAACTTCACTTCTTGCTTTTTGTTACGCTCATACAACACCACACAGTAACCCTCTACCTTGAGTGGCTATTGGACCTTGTATTGGGTGAATATTAGTATAAAAATATGCATTATAGAAGAAGTGACAACCATTCATCAGATATTATAGACTAGCGCTACAAAATCAAAAAAAAGAACGTTACCAAATAACTAAAACCACATCACCTGAAGACTTCCAACAGCAGCACCAACAAAAATGGATTGCACAAGTAACTGGAAGGGAGAATAATTACAAACTCAGGGTGTTGGCTCTCTATACTACAAAAAAAAATATTAGAAAGTAAACCCACAACAATAATATAAGAAAGGCGATAACATTTTCACTTTTCGCTCCTGTTTTTAAAAATTATTTTCCTCAACTTTTCTTTCTTTCTTTCTTTCTTTCTTTCTTTCTTTCTTTCTTATCATATCGCTTCCTAATTTTTGTTCATTAGGTTGTTTCTTTCTTTCTTTGTCATATTTAGTGCTTTCTTATTTCTTTCTTATCCTCTTTTTCTTTTCCTATTTATCTGATTCTTTCTTTCTTTTTTGTCCTATCATTTACCGCTTTTGCTGATTATGTTGTTTCATTCCTTCCTTTCTTCCTCAATCTTCGTTCGTTCGTTCGTTCCTTCCTTCTCAACCTTCCTTCCTTCCTTCTCAACCTTCCTTCCTTTTTCACCCCTAATTTCCCCAGGATTTAATCACTTTTTTCTCCACTAATACTTGAGAAGCCTTTGTCCCTAAAAAAAACTGTTAAAAGATTTTATAAATTTCTACCGACAGGAACGCCAACTCTTTGGTCAATGGATTTCAAATGTTTTTTTTTTATGGAAATGGATGATCTCACCATTTTAGGAATAGTTTCAAACAAAAGGTTGAAAGAATTTAAGATCCAGAGGAATCTTTAGACGTTTCAGAACACAGAATTATTGAAATCGGTAAGAATACTCGGGAAAATGTTGGAAATTTAAGTAAGCTTGTTGCCACTTGATCTTAAGATACAAACATTAGATATAAACGTTAGTCTTTTTTCATGTACGTTGTGCGTAGTAACACTTACTATACACCTACCTAAGGATACGTTAATGATTCCGTAATGAATTAAATATGAATAGATGATGCCTAGTATAAAACTTACAACATGGTTGGAATATACTTAGTAAAGCTTTGAGGCTGGATCGCAATCGATTTTCTCGGGATTCATCAACTAATCTTCTAATGGAAACTAATAGATCTCAGTGTCAGCTTGTATGGGCAACTTGGTCGTTTTAGTATACATCTGTTTCGACTTGTGATGTTGTATAATAGTGATTTTGATCAATTTTAGTCGTTTTCTAGTTATTTTTTGTCGCCATATTTCTTTTTGTGGATAAAAAAAAAGTGTTCCTTCAGAGAGAGAGAGAGAGAGAGAGAGAGAGAGAGAGAGAGAGAGAGAGAGAGTTCTCATGTGGAATTATTACTGAAGTGAGCGTTTGTACGATGAGAACTATAAGATGTATTTTAACATTGCATGGTTTATGTGGAAAAAAAAGTACGCGTAAGCATAAGTGAAATCGAGAATACTGATTAGTTTAACAGTGATAACATTGTATTATTTTTTTTTTTTTAGTTTGAATTAAGAGTTAAGGTAAGTAGAGAAAGAGATCCAAATAAAAAAAAAAGTAAGTAAATTTATTCCGATTGAAACGTTCGGTAGTTCGCGTTATCCAATGGATTTATTTTCCGGTCTTTTCAATATTTTAATCTTGTATATATTTTCGCTATATTTGGCTTATTAGTCTTTCTTTTCTTTCTTTCTTTCTTTCTTTCTTTCTTTCTTCCATTTTTTTCTTCAACAATTTATTTTTCCTCCTCCTTTTCTTGACGGCATTCTTCTCTGACTGGCAGATGTATCTGTGTGATCCTTTTTTACCAAGGAATTATTCTACCGTTCTATCTATCTATCTATCTATCTTGTAAATTAATAATTAACAATTTAAAAATGTATTTCTTGTATCATTTAATAATATTTGTATGGTATCTGTAAAATATGAGAGGATATTACTTTATGCTTTGTATCCGGCTAACTGTACTCTGTATAAAGTATGGCGCGCACACACACACACACACACACACACACACACATATATATATGACTGATTTGTTTCTTATAGCTTATCAACCTTTTGTAGGTTATTTAAAGACAGAAAATATTTTTAGAATCTAAGGTTATTTTGGAGATAATATTTCATTGATAAAAGCCATACTAATTAACCCATAGCTGGGGGAAGAAGAGGCGGATTCATACCAAGGGTATTTGTGTATAAGTGAATATAACGGGTCCCACAGGAACTTGAACTCAGCTCGCCGATTTCCAAGCCGTTATCCTTTACACCACCCGCACATCCAACCTTAAGATGTCACCCATTTAGGCACTGACCAAGTTCAGCGTTAGTTTAACTTCGGTGATCTTAAGAGAACCGGTGTTTCAACGTGATATGGCCGGAAGCATTTCAGATTCCAAGTGACAGTTTTCTTTTTGTTTCTGTTTTTCTTAAGACTTGGTCGTTGCTTACACGCTTCGTCAAGAAAACACATACATCTTCATATATAACTATCTACCTACGTACACTTCAGTAAGCGTTTGTCCATCAGAAAATTGAGCCATCTCTCGCAAGGGGCCCAATGTCCTGTCGTTCAGCGAATCGCTGACATTAATAAGCAAAATGAAGCCTTCCCCAACCCCTTGGATGGACATCTGGCAACAGCACAAAAACCGAGACCTTTCAGTCACCCGGTGTGGGCGGTCGACATCTCCGGGCCTTAAACCCTGATACAGAAACGATCAAGAATTTCTGGATGAGCCGGGTGGAAGTGGGGTTGTTGTTGAAACATGGGTTCTGGAAAGAAAAAAAAAAAAAAAGAAATCACCAGCTGTGGCAAGAGTGTGTCTGTTTCTTCATTAGTGGTCATCCAGTGAATATGGACAGCGAGGTCCGTGAGGATTGAAGGTTTAGGGGCTAGGAGCCGGTGGTAGGACTTGGATCATAATAAGCACTGAGAGGTTTAGTGGAAGTCGTGTGAGAGTTTGCGGTCTCAGAGAGTTTGAAAGTTCTTTCTTAGTTATTGTGTGAAGTGGGGTGATTTTTTTTTCCTTCACTACGTTTTATCGAAAATAAGTTTTTTTTTCCCACGATGTGTGCCGTCAAAATTATTTGGGAGAAACCGGATTATTTTCTATTTTTTTGTTTCTTACTCTGTTTTTCTTATATCAAAGAAGTTTAAAAAAATAATGTTTCAAGGAGGCATTGTCAGTCACTTTTCACTCTTGTTTTTAAAAAATATTTCCCTCAACTTTTCTTTCTTTCTTTCTTTCTTTCTTTCTTTCTTTCTTTCTTTCTTTCTTTCTTTCTTTCTTTCTTTCTTTCTCCATACTTCGCTTTCTTTCTTTCTTTCTTTCTTATCATATCGCTTCCTAATTGTTGTTCATTAGGTTGTTTCTTTCTTTCTTTGTCATATTTAGTGCTTTCTTATTTCTTTCTTATCCTCTTTTTCTTTTCCTATTTATCTGTTTCTTTCTTTCTTTTTTGTTCTCTCATTTACCGCTTTTTGATTATTAGGTTGTTTCTTTCTTTATTTATTTATTTGTTACATTTAGTCATTTCTCCCTTTTTTCTTGTCCTCGTTTAATTTTCTTATTTTGTTCTTGTCTCAACCTCCTTTCCTTTCTTCCTCAATCTTCGTTCGTTCGTTCAGTCCTTCCTTCCTTCTCAACCTTCCTTCCTTCCTTCTCAACCTTCCTTCCTTCCTTCCTTCCTTCCTTCCTTCCTTCCTTCCTTCTCAACCTTCCTTCTCAACCTTCCTTCCTTCGTTCTCAACCTTCCTTCCTTCCTACCATCCTTCCTTCCTTCTCAACCTTCCTTCCTTCCTTCTCAACCTTCCTTCCTTCCTTCCTTCCTTCCTTCCTTCCTTCTCAACCTTCCTTCCTTCCTTCCTTCCTTCCTTCCTTCCTTCCTTCCTTCCTTCCTCAATCTTCGTTCCTTCCTTCCTTCCTTTTTCACCCCTAATTTCCCACTTCTCAGCCTTTTCTCCAAGATTTAATCTTTGTTTTTCTCCACCCGTTCTTATATTCTGTTATTTTATTTCCGTTATTTCTACTCAATCTCTTGTATTTTCAATGTTTTATTTGTCCGTATGCTTTTTCCTCGAAAACGAAATAAATCATCAAAGTCAATATAAATACAAATAATGTGGTTGATTATAATATTGCTATTGGACGTGACAACCATAGTTGCTTATTGGAGTATTTTTAGCAGTAGAACTTGCGCTATTAATAAGAAAACAAATAAGCCATTGTTATAGTCAAATAGGACGGTGTTAAAAAGTAAAAGATAATCAGATACATTTAACTGTAAAATTAACGTCTATCTATCTCTCTATCTATCTATCTATCTATCTATCTGTCTATCTATCTATCTATCTAACAACACACACAGACACACACACAGACACACACACACAATCGAAGGGGTGCAGAAAGGTTTTCAACTTGACCCATATCTCAAAATCTGATTATATAGCCAAACACCAGAATACTCTTCTTAATTTTTTCTTGAATCGTTTCTTAGCTGAGACTTTCAGCACCCATACGTAAATATATACAATTACTTTTGTATCAATATTTATATGCGTTATATATACTTGCATATGAACGTATAAGATTATCATAATCTATCTATCTATCTATCTATCTATCTATCTATCTATCTATCTATCTATCTATCTGTTGTGGTGTCTTCCCTCTAATGAGGCTATCGTGGACTCTTCCACTTACTATAAAGTAGTAGGAAAGTGATCCTCAGGGGAACAGTAGTATAGACTGAACGCTGGTCAACAGACACGCACTCCCAAGTCGTGTAACACATTTCTATAGTATTTATTGTTCAATACACTAATTAGCTGCAACCTCTTGTTTTGTTATTCCTTAACCAATTACTTGGTCACAACACTATCTATCTATCTATCTATCTATCTATCTATCTATCTATCTATTATAGTGGAACACACCTATTCTATAGTTAATAGACTCTCCCACCTATAATAAGTAGGAGTAGTAAGAGTAACGAGTCAGTCGCTAAGTGGGTCGGTCAGTCAGTCGATGCCGGACGACCGTTAGTCGGATACTAAAGTATCAGCGACTACAACTAGATTACTCTGCGTCATACCTATTATATCAAGTTCCTAACCTTTTGTACGCCGAACCTATTTTAGGACTGACTTAGTACAAATACAAGCGTCCACTGTGAAATCACTCCATAACACTATCTATCTATCTATCTATCTATCTATCTATCTATCTATCTATCTCAGTCTCGTCATGACTATGTATTATAGGTGAGTGTACAGCAAAGTGTACTGGAGAACAATTTATTACCCGTAGTGGGAGTTGGGCTTTCTAATTCCTCATTTAAATCTATTCAAATAGATTATGTATAGGTCTGGTCGACAAAGAAAATAGGGCATTTCCGCTGGAACACAGAAAAATAATCTTTCACGAGGTGAATGGGGTTGAAACAATGAAAGTCCAAATATAACAAAACAAAAATATGCAATTAATTTTTTTTATTGATAAAAGTGAGAATACTGTGAAAAGTGTTTGGACTTGCATGAGATTTGAAGTCATTCAAATCCATTGACTGAAAACACAGGTGTGGATGGTTGCAATGATAATAGCCACGTCAATTCTAATTATATGAATAACAAAAAAAAATATTTATCATAATATAGAATCAACCCGATAGAGGTTAAAAACATATTGCCACCAGGTAATTACAAGTCCATATGAATAGAACTGTCTAATGCAATGAAGTTTTCATTTAAGATGGGTATCAACCTTATGGCATCCCATTCATTTAAATTTGACTCAAATGTTTTAGATTCTTTTCTTTTCTTTTTCTTCTTCATTTTCAACTTTTTCTTCGTTTTCTTCTTCTTCTTCTTCTTCTTCTTCTCTTTTTTCTATTTCTTTTTCCTTTTCTTCTCCCTTTTCTTTCGTTATTCCTTATTCGCTTTCTTCTTCTTCTTCTTCTTCTTCTTCTTCTTCTTCTTCTCTTTAGTGCTACATTCTTCTTCTTTTCTTTCATAATTTCCGTCTTCATTTTCTTTTTCACATTTTTTCCTCTTCTGCTATTCATTTTTTTTCTTTTTCTTTCTCCTTCTTTCCTTTTTCGTCTTCATTTTCGACTTTTTCTTCTTCACTTTCTTCTCCATCTTTTTATTTTCTTCATTTTCTTCATTTTTTACTTTTTCTTCGTTTTCTTCTTACTTTTTATCTATTTCTTTTCCCTTTTTCTTTTTCTTTCTTTACTCCGTTTTTGATTTCTTCTTCTTCTTCTTCTTCTTCTTCTTCTTCTTCTTCTTCTTCTTCTTCTTCTTCCCTTTATTGCTTCTTTTTTTCATTTTTTCCTTTCCGTCTTCATTTTTTTCCAATTTTTTTCTTCTACTATTTATTTTTCTGATTTTTCTTTCTTTTTCTTCTTCATTTTCTTCTTCTTCTACTTTCCTTTTTCTCCTTTAGTTTCAACTTTTTCTTCCTCACTTTCTTCTTCGTTTTCTTATCTTTATTCTTTTAATTCTTTTTCTTTTACTTTCTTTTCTTATTTTCGCTTTCTTCTATTGCATCTTTTATCTTTTTTTCATCCTCATTTTCTTCTCCTACACTTTCTTCTACTTCTTCACTTTCTAGTTTTGCTTTTTCTTTTCATTTTCTTCTTTTTCGTCTTTTTGTTTTTTGTCTTCTCTACTTTCTTCATCTTATTCTACCTCTCTTTTCTTTCTATTCTTCTTCTTCTTCTTCTTCTTCTTCTTCTTCTATTTATCATGTCCTTGCAGGAAGTGGGCGATCATTACTATAATTTCTTATCATTTTTAGCTCATAATACCGTTTGTCTTTTTACCACTAACTGCCATTCATTCACGCAAGCTCGTTACGTAGGTTACTCAGTTTTTCTCTGTCCCTCTTGCCTTCAGTATGTCTTGTGAGTGTCAAATTTTCCAAGTCTGCTTTCCTCATTATGTGTAATATAAATTTCAACCGTGATTTTTTTTCTGATTTTGAGTATAACTCTCCTTTTCGTGTACATTTTCCTTAAAACTTGCTCATTGCTTATATGTATCATCCATGGTATTCTCAGAATTCTTCTGTGGAACGAAATTTCTGTTGCCTCAAGTCTCCTGTTCATCTGCAAGGAAATTGTCCGATCATAGCTCTCCACAACTTCCTACCTTTTATAGCTCTTAGTAAGATTTATTCCTTTGCCATCATTCCCATCAACCTGTTCCATTGATGTAAACTCATCAGGTCGCTAGCACACTGACTCCTGTTCTTATTATCTTCAGTATATCCTGTGTGTTTCAAATTCTCCAAGCACTCTTTCCTTATTATATATCCAAGTGATTTTAGCTGAGTATAAGTGTTATGTTTCCGTTTCTTACGCGCTCCGTTCATAGAATTCTCAGCATCCTACAGTAGAACCACATTTCTGAGGATATTGTCCAGTATTCACTGCATTGATATTACTTTCAGCACTTTTTTTTTGTTATATATGATAAAATATGGTCTTTAAGGTATGTTATACTTATAGGAGAAAAGTGATTAATAACAGGTACAGAGCACCTGTAAATATAAGTAGATAAGTATTTTGCCATTTTGATCATTTTATTATCTACTTATGCTTACTTATTATAACCCTGGCAAATTAAAACTTTTTTATACTTCAAATCAATCCCATTGACTTAAGTATTAAAATAGAAGTACAGACTTATTTTGATTCCTATCCACCCAATCCAAGAATATATATATCATAGTATCGTATATTTATGGGTAAAAGTGCTCAATATCAGGGATAGAGCACAGGTGAATATAAAGGTGGACACAGAGGTCAAGACCGAGTGAAAGACAGTCTGTTTCATGCTTCAGCGCAATCTCCATGACTGAAACAAAAAATTCAGTGATAATAGCTAATAGAATAGCCGAAAACGTTCAGATATATAGAACATTCGGACAGTTTTACACACATTATGTAGGTTTTCAAGAAAAATTAAATAAAAAATTTCATCAGTTGCCTTTAATGAAACTTGTATAAAAGTGGGAAAATAAACAATTAGATATATATTTTACGGGAAAGATATAGAAAATATATATCGTTATCCCATATATATATATATATATATATATATATATATATATATATATATATATATATATATATATATGTGTATTTAGGCAGCATATTTTCATTTATACACGTTTCATTAAATAATATAGACAAGTGTTGTCTATTTATTTTATGTAAAATTTTTTTCGTATCTTCTGATAAGTTTGATAACATTATCATTAACCGAAAAAGAAATTCACAATATTTATCCATTATTTTTTTAATATAATCTAAGCTTTCGGCTTACTCAAGCCATTATCAAAGATGTAATTACAAACATATCAAACAATATACGGACACGACAGTGATGATAGTCTGTCATTGTTTAGTTTACATAGTGGATCACTAAGCAACGATGAACAGTGTATAAATATATATATATATATATATATATGTATATATTTCATTAAAGACTACAGACAAGTTACTGCGATTAACATATTTAATTTAATTTTTCTTGTGCACGAAAAAGTGTCTTCTTTTCTGGACACAATGTTTAAATGTTCTGTAATTCCGAGGGCTTTAGGCTCTACTTTTAGACATTATCAAGGATGATTTATTTTTACTTTTTACTTTTTAACTGGATGTATGTGTATGTTTCTAGAGTTATAGAGATGTTTTATTTTCCGAACACAGTCAGCATATTATGTCCGTGTTTGTAGTTAATATTATTGAGTGTTGGCTTTTTCTTTTTTATTATTAAGGCTTCCATTATTTTGAAACTTTTTTTTATGTATATGAGATTAAGCTTGAATTTTTTACTTGTATATTTGGGATGGAGCCTTGTAAGTTTGTGTGTGTGTTTAAATGGGTCCCAATGGAGCTGTAGTCCGATAAGTGTAACCTAAGGCGTCTGGATAGGCATGTAGTAGTGTGACCGATGTAATTATATATGAATTCGGTTTGATCAGGAACACAGTTCCTTAAGGGAATTCATAGATAATGTTCGTTCGTTTTAATTTTGATTTAGCTGGTGTGTTGTTATTTTTGAGTATAAGGTTAGCTGTTTTAAAATTTTTTTTTAGTTGATAGTTAATTTTATATATATATATATATATATATATATATATATATATATATATATATATGATGAATTGACGGAGTTTATATTGGACCATTCTTTGTTGGGATCTCTTTATAAAACACCATCAAGATTGAAGTTGTTTCCTTAATCTAAAGGGAACCCGGGCTCGAAGAATTTTATTTATTACTTTCTTAAAACACTCGAGTGCCTAGGCCGGTAGACATTCAGTTATACTGCTTATATAACAAGTATGTTTGTTCAAACACGCATATCCAGTCAATGTAACTTTTATAGTAATATTATATATATATATATATATATATATATATATATATATATATATATATATGTATTTAGGTCGTAATTCCACTTTTATATCTGTCTCGTTAAAGACGACTGAAAAGGTACTGCGATTAAGCTTTTTATTTCATTTTTCTTGTGTTTCTACATTTCAGGGATCCTTCGGCTAAACTTTTAGCCACGATCAAGGAGATAATTTTGACTGAATGTATGAGTCGTGTTTCGTATGCATCTAGAGTTATATGGATGTTTTATTTTAAAAAAAAAACACGGTCAGAACATTGTGGCAGTGTTCATAGTTAATGTTATTGAGTGTTGGATTTTCTTTTTTTATTATTAGGGCTTCCATTATTTTAAATATTTCTTCATGTGGATGAGGTTATTATGCTTGTATTTTCTACTAGTCTGTTTCAGATGAAGTTTGAATGGTTCTTATGTGTGTTTACATTATTTCTAATAGAGCTGTATTCGGATGTAACATAAGGCGTTTGGATAGGCATGTAGTAGTATGACCAATGTAATTATTTATGAGTTCGGTTTGACCAGGAACACAGTTCCTTAAGGAGTATTTGAATTCGTAAATAATGTTGGTTCTTTATACTTTTGATTTTGCAGATATGTTGTTAATTTTTATGACAAAGTTAGCTGTTTTTAATTTTTTGTAAAAGATAATTTAATTTTCGTGTTCGGGTCGACTGGGGGAGTGTATTTCTTTATGATATTTCTAAGGAAACATTAATCTTGCTTATAGTTGACGTGTATTTGGCTTTTGTAGAAGATGTTTGTCTGTGTATTCAGTATCTTTATTAATTATTTGGGAAACAAATCATCTAATCTGGTGTTCGATGAGGTAGATAGGAAAACCATTGTTAACTAGTGTCTGTTTTGCATTGTTGAGTTCTTAGACGAGAGGATGAATTCTCGTGTGCTCTTTTGGAGAGTTTTTAAACATTTTGTGTCCAGAAAAAAATAAAAACATTTCTACGAGTGCAAGAAAAATTAACTAAAAAGCTTAATCGCAGTATCTTGCCAGTCGTCTTTAATGAAACACACACACACACACACATAAATATATATATATACAGGTACACGCATATATATATACTCATATATATATATATATATATATATTAAGAAATAAACATAATATCATAAAAATAATATGAAAATATAAATATAAATTCCGAGTTTCATGCCGAAGCAATTTTCAAGTGCTGGAATGATTATATTTATTTTTATTTACATTTTGGGTTGACACTTTTTTCTTTCTTTTTTTTTTTTTAAACGAGTTGTGCAATTAATGAAAGATTTAACTAATATCAAAAATGGAAAAAATAAAATAGAAAAAATATTGTAGAAAAGGAGTTGAGCAATTAATGCAAGATATTATGTATATTTCTTAATATATATATATATATATATATATATATATATATATATATATATATATATATATATATATATATATATATATATATATATGAAATAGCTCTGTCATTTAACATTGAGCGCTGTTTCTTCTTACACCACAAACTATTTATATGCATTTGTAAACGATTGCTCGCTTGTATACCTATCTATATTTACCGATTCGGTTATATACATACACTGCGTGCCAAATTATTATCGAGATAACTTTTTTTATAACATTTCAAAAACCGTCCAATCAATTCACACAAAATTTTCACACAATGTTGACAACACTGACCTGCGCAATCACTGAAATTTTCTCTGATCTGCGCAATGTAAACAAACTGGCGCCATATTTGTTATCAACACGGTGATTTGAGCGTGCCAAATTATTAGAAAAGTGTAAGAATTTAGTAAAAAGATGGGCCATAAAAGCAGTTTAAGTAATGCTGGAAAGAAAGCTATCATCTCAGAACTCTCAAAAGGTAAATCTACCCTAGAAATTTCTAAAATGATAGGGAGGTGTCATCAAACAGCGAAAAAGTTCACCGCCGACCCTACACAAGTACGCAAAAGGGCAGATACAGGCAAGCCAAGGGTTATTTCACGTCGTCTCATGTCAAGACTTAAACGAGAGGCCACGAAGAACCCTGGACTTACCAGCCAAGAGTTTTTCAGTCGCATTGGGGATCCTACTGTGTCTAAAAGTACTCGGTGTCGGTATCTGAGGGAAATAGCAACAACAGTCAATCCTGTATCGAAGTCTCCTTTGACGAGAAATCACATTCGATTGAAATGGGCTGAGGACAATATGAAGATTGACTTCTCTAAAGTTTTGTTCACAGACGAAACTCGAGCAACACTTGATGGGCCAGAAAGATGGTGCAAAGGCTGAGTAATGAACAGACAGAATCGCCATCAGCGTTTGAGACGCCAACAAGGCGGTGGAGGCATAATGATCTGGGGTGGTATTATTGGAAACACATTAGTGGGCCCATGGGGAGTACCAGATGGCGTCAAAATGACTGCTGATGCATACATAGCGTTTATGAAGGAGAATCTTGAACGTGGACGAAAAGGCAAAGAGTTGTCTTCAGAAGGGCCATTGTTTTTGGTGCAAGATAATGCTCCCTCACATGCTGCTCACAAGACTACTGAATATTTGAAACATTTAGGCTTCGATGGACCTCGAAAAATGAAGTGGCCAGCAAATTCTCCGGATTTGAACCCAACCGAAAACATTTGGAGTATCATGAAGCAAAGACTGTACGCCAACGGACGATAATTCAGGAGCAACGCTGAGTTTTGGGAAGCAATTCTTGACATATCTCGCGGCATTACAGCAGATGACATCCTACAATGAACAAATTCTATAGATCGTCGACTTCTTCAAGTAATTTCAAAACAGGGAAAGCACATTCCCTATTAATTTGTTTTAAACTGTGCCTTTGTTTGTATCTCTTATTATTTGTTTGATTATCTTATTTATTAGTTTCTTTTGATCATAAACATTCATGTGCAACATTAATAAACGTTTTGTGTGCTCAATTTCTAATAATTTGTCACGCTCAAATCACCGTACTGATAACAAATATGGCGCCAGTTTGTTTACATTGCGCAGATCAGGGCAAAAATTTCAGTGATTGCGCAGATCAGTGTTGCCAACATAGTGTGAAAATTTTGTGTGAATTGATTGGACGGTTTTTGAAATATTATAAAAAAAAGTTATCTCGATAATAATTTGGCACGCAGTGTATATATATATATATATATATATATATATATATATATATATATATATATATATATATAATATAATAATATTTTTGTTTAAAAATATTATTATAATATAAGCTCTACTTCTGTATGGAGCACTGTCTTCTTAAAAATAAAAACAAAAATACTAAGGAACCCCGGATTATGCACCCAACGTGTTCTTTTTTTTCTATTTTCTGCATACCTACGCACTTATATATATATATATATATATATATATATATATATATATATGTGTGTGTGTGTGTGTGTATGTATGAGTATATATACATATATATATATATATATACATATATATGTATACTCGTGGCCTGACGATTGCGTCTAGCATGAAACAGCCTGTCGCCTTTAAGTGTTGACTTCAATGTTCACTTTTATATTTAGACACTCTATCTCTAATATTAAGCACTTTATCCCATAAATATAGCACACCTTAGGGGTATATTTCTTCATAAATATATATATATATGAAGAAAAATATATAAGGAAAAAACAAACAAAAATCCTTATATACAATTATGATGTTTTAATGTTGATATGTCAACGTCGGACGTTTCGGTCTAATAAACCATCTCCAGGACATATTCATAAAATATAATTAACATTATCAATTCAACATGACAAAGACGATGTACATAAGAACAAGACTTATTCAAACAGATACCTGAAAGTTTTATAAGATCAGCGCTCCGTTTAAAACATGGTCACGTTGTCGTCACGTGGGCGACGCTGTGAAAACGTATTCCTAAAATTTGAGTATTTTGAATGAAAAATGAAAAGAATTCTATTTTGATCTAAAATTTATATGTACGCTTGTCGAGCATTAATCTCGCTAGAAAAGGGGAAATACTAAAGAAGCCAGACTAGAATACTAGATATATGTAATATATATATATATATATATATATATATATATATATATATATATATATAGATATATAAGAAACTGTTAGCATAGACTTTACGATTACATCTAATCATTTCAATTGTAAAATGATAAGAACTTGCCGCCAATCTAGCAGTACCCTTAAATTCATAAAGTCTTGGTACCAACGGGAAGTTTTATTAGAGCAGTTACCTCGAAAATATTTATAAAAAAGACACAGTGAAGTTACGTTAAAGCAGTCGGGAAATGACTGAAATTGCCTGGTCAGGACAAATAACGTTGCATATTCTTCTTTGCATTTTATCAAGAATCTCTAAATACATAGAAGAACTACTAGAGCAGAATTAACAGCAATATCCAAAGCATGGACGAATGGTAAACTTTTAAATGTAACATACATCTAGCGATAAATATTGCCTAGCAAGACACAGTGAACTAACTTTCTTAGCATCAGAACTAGCAACTGATTCAATATAAGTCAGTGGAAAACGTTAGCCTGAGAAATCGTAAGGAATCACTCTCTTGGATGTTAGCATCAGCCATGCTGAAAGAAGTCAGAAAGGCTTCTGTCAGGCAATTAAAACAGAGCAGTTTTGTTTTGGAGGCGTTTAAATTAACAAGTCATTTATTGCCCCAGTTAACAACAGAGTGTAGGGTATTTTTTAGCTCAGCTGCCAATTTGACCTTAATTTGACCTCGAATCGATCAGAAATACCATTAAGATAGCAATAAATAGTTGTGTCATCAGCACAGAAACAAATTTAAAAACTGATGAAAACCGGGATGTCGTTGAGGAAAATTAGGATCAGCATGGGTCCAAGGTTAGAGCCTTGGGTACACCTGCATTAATACAAAAAGATCTAGAAGAGAGGTCGTTCTAGACATCTTTCATTTCGTGATTTGATAAGAAAGATTAAATCAGATCAAAAATTCGCCCAGAAATACCCTAACCTTTCAACTTGTGACAAAGACTATCATGTCAAGCGTCTTCGAAATAACCAACAACCCGAATTTCACTATCTATCTATCTATCTATCTATCTATCTATCTATCTATCTATCTACGGCTAGGTAATCATATGTATATATCTATGTATATTCACATCTGACAGGAGATGCACTTGTGTATGTTTGTGTGTATGAATGCAAGCAGTGCAGATATAGGTATCAACACTAAATGGTTACTGTTCTTTTCATACTTAAACGCAATAGACATGGCCATGAGAATTGCATTTATTTATGAAGCAGACTGTGGACATTCAGTGTTGATGCTTATATCTACATTGCTTATATTTAAGTACATTCTACCCATGACATTGAGCTACTTTTCTCTCATAAATATAGCATACCTTAAGAAGAATATTTTACAAGTAAAGTAATTATATATATATATATATATATATATATATATATATATATATATATATATATATATATATATATATATATATATAAAACTAACCTCGCACTAATGAAAAGTGCATATATGAAAGAAAAATCGAGAAGTATAAATAGTCAATAGCTGATAGAGGAGGATTGATTCCTAGAGGTTCAGTATACGAAATTCCGAAGTCGAGATGCTGAAGGTAACACCAATCAGCTAGATGACAAACTTTTTACTTGCATTAATTATATATATAATAAGAAAAGCTAGAATATGTACGTCATTAAATGACCCATGTCCTTTGTGCATACATGAGAATCTATATATCACTAAGTTTATAAAAAATAAAAATTTATTGAATCAAAGAAATGAAATAGCTATTCTTTGCCGACATTGTCAAAAACTTTCCTTAAATAATATTTAAATATAATATAATAAATAAAAAAAAAAATGGGAGCTGTTAATATACATACTTATACTTGATATGTAATAATAATTTTTTAATAATTTAAGTAATTCTATTACATTTATTTGCTTTAAAAAGAAATATAGTTTATTAGTAATTAAAAGTAAAAATAATATTTTAAAATTTTAGTTCAATATAACGTATTCTGACCAAAACACCCCTTTTAGAAAGAATCTTTATTTGTACAAGTATGAATTTAACGGAAAAAAAATGCCGAAAAAGTTTTTCTCGTCGATAAAAAAAAACAACAGAGACATGCATTGAACGGATGTCAAAATTCGTTTAAAAATGCACCCCTACCTTACCTAAACATAACCTCTTTTTCGAACGTAACTCATAATTGATACAATAATAGTTAATAAAAAAGAACACGCTACCACCCCTGTCTGAATGATTGGATTTCTCTGTATCCTTGAAAACAAAAAAAATATGAATTGTATGTGCGTTTAAAACTCAGTAAAATTAAAATTTATTCCAAAATTCGCTTGAAGATGAAACAGAACTAATGCTTTTAATTTAATTATATAATTAAATTTGAAGTTTTTAACTTCGGTTTTTGAAACATGGTAATTCCTGTGTAGCGAAGAAACCATATTTTAAATCAGTTAATTTATTATATATATATATATATATATATATACACAAGATGCGAGATAGGTAAATTGTCGGGTGAAGAGCACCATGACGCAATTCCCTCCACCAGAAATTTTGGAACGGTATGCTGTATTGCTTGGCATTCGCACTGGAAGCTCCAATACGAACATTTCAGAGTGTTTGAATATCAATTTGAAAAGTGTGCAGAGGATTTGGAAATAGCTGGATGAGTCTAATGGTGATTACAAAGTTGTTTGAAGTGATCACTAATGATGGCGGATTTATGCCTCCAATAATCTTCCCAAAGTGCCTCAGGTGCAACACGGAGCCCTACATCAAGTAACCTGAGAATGTATTGCTGTCCTGGGTTAAGAGGGTGACTGCTTGAAGACCCTTTGTCTGGCAACAGGACTCTGAACCATGCCATTCAAACAGCAGAATCCAATCATGGCTGTCAGATAATTTCTGAAACCACATCATCCCTGGCCACCTAACTCAAGAAACTGCAACCCTCTTGATTATTATGTGTGAAGCGCAGTTGAACGAGAGACCAACAAAATTCCTTGTAAGACCAAAGATGAACTGAAGGCAAGGATTATGGCAGCATTCACCAACTTAAACAAGGCGACCGACTAGAAGAGTTGCAAGAGATTCGGAAGTTATCTGGAGGAATTAGTTAAAGCCAATGGCGATTTTATTGAATAAATTTACTCTTTAGTATTTCAAGATATTTTTGTGTAATCTTGGTAAGTATATCTGTTAAAATGAGATGTCAGTATTATTTTCATTTTTTGTGTGTGTGTGTGTGTGTGTGTGTGTGTGTGTGTGTGTGCGCGCGCGTCATTTAGACGACAATTTATCCATCGCAGTCAGTAAATATACATATTCGTGAGTATATACCTTTTTTTGGCACGTTTTCTTTCTTGTGGATTATAGAGAATCCTAGTTTTCATCATCCATATTCTCCGTTCAGTGCCCAAAACAACTTCAACCAAAACTCTTTATCAATCAAGGTTGTATTTGTGTAGCATCTCGCCAGCGATTATGATAGTCAGTTATATTAAGGGGCCAGCTTGTGCAAACAAAATGATTTGCCCCCATTTTGCACGAGAAAGAGAAAAAGAAAATAACACATGAGGGTCAGTGAAAACTAAAACGCCATATTAGATCCATCAAGTTAATAGGACTTCGTCGGAAAAAAAAAAGAGAGAGAAGGAAAGAAGTGAACAAGAAAAGAAAAGAAAAGAAAAGAAAAGAAAAGAGAAAGACGTGAAAGTGAGAAAAGCGGATAAAGGATTAACATATAGCAAAGAAGGTTCAAAATAAGAAAGAAGAGAAAAAGAAAGAAAAAGAATAAGAAATGGGGAAAAGAAAAAGAAATGGAAGTAAAAGAGAAAAATAGAAGAGGAAGAAGAAAATATAGAAAGAAGAGAAAGAAGAGAACAGAGAAAAAACAGGAAAAAGAAGACGAAAAGATAAAGAAACAAAATATGCTTTACAAAATTTGAAAAAATTGATAGAGTGGGATATTAAAAAGCAGCATATATATATATATATCTTTATATACATATATATAAATATTTACATATATATATGAGTGTGTGTATATGTGTGAAAGATGTTATGTATATTTCTTAATATATATATTAAATAAATCTGTTAATATTGAGCACTGTTTAGACTATAGAGTATTTATATGTATACGATCGCTAGCTCGTATACCTGCCTATTTACCCATTCGGTTATACACACACACACACACACACACACACACACACACACACACACACACACACACACACACACACACATATATATATATATATATATATATAGTCATTCACAGATAGACTTTCGCTGTATCACAGCTCATCAGTCTGGCGAGACATCCGATTAGCTTCAGTCAGAGATTTTATCCCCAAGCTATCTCCGGCAGAGCGGAAGAGAAATTTTAATGTTTTTTCTATGCGAACAACGTTAGTAGCCAGGAGATCTCGATAAACGAAAATTACAGTAGGTATATATATATATATATATATATATATATATATATAATATAATTTTCGTTTATAACTATACGTTTTTACGTTAGTAGCTAGGATATCTCGATTCAAGTAGAAGAGCATTGGGTGCATATATATATATATATATATATATATATATATATATATATATATATATATATATATATACTGTAATTTTCGTTTATACCTAGGTAAATAGTACAAAATATTATTTAATGGTACAAAATTATTTATTATTTTATATAACTGTTATTTTATTGCGTACATGTGTTTGGGTTGACATCTTAATTATTTCTTAAAAAGTGAAATTAATATCAAGCGGCCTAAGTCGAAAAGTCCTATAAAGAAAAACGTGTCTTCTGATAGGAATCGAACATGCATCGTCTTGTTTCATCAGGGAAACTGCCCCTATAGCCGAAGAAAGCAGTTACTAATTTGGCTACTGGAGACCATAATGGTACGCTTCTTTAGTATGACTTTACGATCTCGGTAAGTTGATGTTAATTTCAATGTTTAAGAAAACGAAACCCTCCCACCAAAAAAAAAACAGTGTGTCAACTCAAATACGTGTACCAATAAAAAATAATGTCGGATAAAAAATAATTTAAAAATAAATGATAATATAAGCATTATTCTTAAAGGATATTAATATATTCAGTTCCGTTGTCAAGCCGAAATTAAATACCACTTGTAAACACTGCGAGTATCGGCTGAAAAGTTCATAGACTAACCAAGAGAGCGTCATGTAATGTGATCAAATGAGGTTTATTTTTTAACATAGTTTCCCTTGCGGTCTACATTCTTCTTCCATGGGAAGAAACAATGCAGTTATTAATAAGAAGAGCTGAAATTAATGCATGCAAGATTTCACAGCTCGAGAGTCATTCCTTTTTAGTCAGCCTACGCAATTTTCAGCCCACCTTTGTAATATTACTTGAATGATTTTCATTCAGATTCCTGTGAATAAATTTTACCTCCTCATTAATGTGGATTTTTATAAAAGGGGATAAGAGCACATATCCCTTTTCTACTCCCGTGACATATTTCTAATGTTAACTTTTAAACGGCGGGTATCATCAATTGATAGTACATTTCTACCGAGACTACTGATCGCTTCTCGGCCTTTTGGCTCGAGGTGGTTCAAATAATTTTAAGCCCAAGCTCCAGTGGGCATTCCCCGCCAGACAGCACCTCTCCTTCGGGAGAGGGCTGGGTTTATTTCTGGGCGCCTGAGGAGTCGCCAAAAATGAAAACGCCGAGAGGACTTGGTCAGTTTTTGCACGGTACTGCCATTAAACCTATTTTAAAACTCGACCTTGTGTCACGTTCTGTAGCGACGTAGGCGCGGTGAAGAAATACCCTCGGTCTTTAGGCCGGGATGAAACCCTAGTATATCTTCTTTTCTCATTTGAGCAGAGAGAAGGTACTTGAGCCTGGGGATTTCAAGCCTGCGGCAGCACCTTCATTTCATTAAGAGCGGTGGGGTCGGTATAACATCGACGTCGGTGTGAAAGTGGTCTCCGGGCCAGTTTTGTCCCTGGTCCGTATGTACGTGTATGGGCTCCCAATATAAAAAGACTTCTGCCTAAGTGGAGAAATCAAGTAAATAAAATCATTAATTCATCATGCAAGCTTAAGTGA